GAATGCCACAAAGCACGGTGTCACCTATTCCCACGTCACAGTTCGCCTGTTGGTACGAGGCTGCCACTCATGAACTTTTCTTCCCCATCGGTTATCGGTTGTTCGAGCTATATGGCCGGCCCATTGCCACTTCAGATTAGTAGCCCGTTGGGCTATATCGGTTACTCTAGTCTCTGTTGATATCCTGATTTCTAGGTTTATCACGCAGATAAACCCCAAGCATAGTCCTATCCATAGCTCGCTGAGCAACCAAATTAATTACTTAAACGTTAAATTTAGCACAGCAAAAACAATTAGTTAAATAGAAAAAATTGCAAGGCAGTGTGTAGATATCTAATTTCAAAACAAATTAATAAATAATTTTACGTACAAACGCAAAAGAAAAATTATACTTTGTGAAAAAAATAATTTGGAAATTTGCAAGTGAGTTTTGTTAATTATGAATTAAATTATTAGAACAACATTCTCTTTACGGATTCCCAATTCATTCCGTTAAATTACCAAAAACAATTTGAATAATTTATTAGCTTAGACACGAACGAGATTAGCTGTGCGTAAAGTTTATTATAATTATCGAAACAAATCATGACGGCTGTATTATAATGTTTTGTTTTGAAAAAACGAAAGAAAACTCAGCAAACTCTCAATTTGTGCGACTTTTTTTGTAAACAATTTAAAACTGCTTACACTATTTGAGAACGTACAAAATCAACTTTTCAAGTTATTTTAAGAAACTATTATATGTTGTTTAAATATAAATAAATTAATTTTATATACTAGTAGAGTTTAATAAACCCTACCTGTATTTATGTTTAAGCTCGGGGTTCGGCTATTCTCCAACCTTTTGTTGTTGAGTTATCACGCATTCTAACCAAACGGTTTGCTACGTCGGTCGTGATTCGTACAGCAAAGGAGTGGAATAAGTTGCCAGCATCTGTCTTTCCATCCGATTACAGTGTGTGTGTCTTCAAGGCAAGATTGAATAGGCTTTCATTAAGTCATTACGCTTCACCATCTTAGGCTACATCACCACTTACCATCAGATGGAATTTTAGTTGAGCGCTGGCTTAGAATAATATTAAAAAAAGTGTAACGAGCTCCACAAATATTGGAATAGGAATAGAGCGTCTATGTTAACAAAAAGAAATACTTATAAATAAATTATAGATAAAATAATACTGCCATGTCGTGTCGTGTAACGGTGGCGCAAAAGAATTCACTATTATATCCCGTCTCGTCCCGTATGGGTCCCGCAAAAGACGACAGAGGGAAATGAAACGGGTGATGGGCAATATTTTCCCTATAACAACTCAAAATAATAAAAGATGAGGTTGCCTGCAAAGCGTGGCATATATAGCAAAATAAAAAAAATCGGTAAACAACGAATTTATGCTCGACTGTTTTATCGACATTTGAGTTTGGCCATTTTCTGTATAGAAGGAGGAAATTTTTTAAGTGCATGCTATTCAGAATTAGTAAACTAGATAGTCAAAGCCCTTTGTTGCAGCCCACCATTTTGGTATAAAACATTTATGAGGGCGGCACTGAAAATTTCGGGAATCCAGGAAGTGACACAACATTACTATTTAAAAATGTATTTATTGCTTTTCGAAGTATTCTCCGCGAAATTTGACACATTTTTCCATACGAGGAACCAATCATTGAAGCAACCATTCCATTCGGAAGTTGGGGTCTCCAAAATGGCCGTTTTGTAGGCGTCCACAGCTTCTTCAGGTGATGAAAATCTCTGTCCACGCAATTTATTCTTTATTTTAGGGAAAATATAGAAATCATTAGGGCTTAGGTCGGGGCCGTACGGTGGATGGTCTAATAATTCTATGTTTTCTTGCTCTAAAAACTCTATTGTTCTGTGTTTTTTGCATTTGTGAGAACTCGAATTGTCGTGATAGAGGATGATGCGGTGGTTGTAGTTCTCTTTACGGAGTTCAGAAACGACCTGTGGCAAACAAATGCTAGCATACCATTCTGCATTAACCGTTCTTTGTCCCTCAAGAGTAATAGTCGTAACATGGCCGGTTTTGGAGACAAACGTGGCCACCATTTTATTTGCAACACTCCGTGAACGAACATTTTTTGTTGGCTTTAACTCATTTTCGAACACCCAAACTCGAGACTGTTTTTTGTTTCGGGTTCGTACGCATATATCCAAGATTCGTCACCTGATACGATGTTGTATACAGCATTTGAGGATCCTGCGTGGAATCTTTCGAGAGTTCTGACGCACCAAGTAACGCGAGCCGCTTTTTACTCTTCACAGAGCGAATGCGGTATCCATCGGGAAAACAACTTTTTTACACCTAATTGTTCATGCAAGATTATTTGTATTTGACTCATGCCAATGTCTAAAGTTGCCTGAATTTCGCGCTATGTCACATGTCGATCAGCAATCGCAATGATGATTCTGATGCAACGATTTAGTGATCGGCTGAATTCAGTTTATTAATTGCGTAAATCTGTTCACGTGTTATGAAAAACGTGTAAAATATTATTTATATGTACGAATTTTATAAAACGAAAAAACTTTTTATATTTGGTAGGATTCGCTAAGAAAGGAAATTTTTTATTATCTTAAATAAATCTTTTTTGCCATTTTTGGTCATATATAAAATTATTTTTCGTTTAGTATGTAACTACTTAACGTAAAATATTTCACAAATAAATGAGCAAAAAATACTCGTTTCTAAATAAAAGCATTATAAAAAAATGTAGTTGAGATAATTATACTCACATGTGCACACTTTTCATACAGCTTACATTCCTCATTACTTCTTTATATTTTTATGTAAAGTGCCCTAAAAACTTAGTCAAAAAGTCAGTGCGACCGAAATTTTTGCTATAAGATAGATCGTAAAACCGGAGACGAAGCACAGATAATTTCCTAAGACGTGAAGGGAATAATATGTAAACATTATTGTTTTAGACCTAACGTATTAGTATTCATGACCAACGCTGAGGGCCTAACTGCCGGGATTTAGTGGTACAAGATGAAAATATAAGCCAAACAATAACAGACTTATGGTACGAATCGTCTCATACATATATAATAAAATAGACGTTTGGGAATGATTTTCTACGAGTACGGCGAATTTTAACAGAGAAAAAAACTCAAAGCTAATTGCACCAGATGGCGCTTTTTAAAACTTATTTTTCATAAAATATACTCCATACCTTCATAAATACACTCGTTAATGTCGGTTCCTCAAGTTAAAGTTTCACTTTGAAGGACGGAACCTTAGACTGTTGGTAAAAAAACTCCGATCTGATTAAAAGTTAAGTAATTACAATTGTTAGGTTATGTTCCAAAATATATAGTTATATATAGTTTGTATTCAGAAGCTTATTGGCTCTCTTTGTTTTCTTAGATAAAAAATGTATATTCGAAACTAAAACTTTGGTAATATTTCGGATTTCAAAGATGATCAAATATTTCAGTGACCTCCATGTGATGCCTTCCGGAATTTAAACGCGTACCTTTGGGTAGGCTAACAATTTTGAACAATGTTATTGTACACAAGCTGTGTATATGGAAAAGGCAACAATTTTCCCACCCCCATCGTTACATTTTTACTAGGTCTGCACGTAATTGGAAACTTTGGGGGGGGGGGGGCTTTTGTTTTGTTTTTTTTTGGGGGCGTTTTTTTTTTCTTTGTTTTTTTCTTTTTTTTTTGGGGTTCGCCCCCCCCCCCGGGGGGGGGTTTGGTTGTTTTCCCCCCCCTAAAAAACATATCGGATACTTCCTAATTAGCAACTTTACTTAGACCAAATAATATTTACTTTAACCGTAATCGTCAGTTATAATCATTATCTGGGTCAACTAATTAAGTGATAGCGTGGAATAATAGAGATAAACACGTAACACGTATTATATAAAATTAATTTCAAGTCTAAACATTTTTACATGCATTAAATCCGAGCCGAAGATTTACCCTTAATTTTTTTATAGAACTGGAGCACCTTGGGCTCTATTTTAAATCTCTAACTTAAATTTACAATGTTTGATTTTTCACGACTAAATTCACCACATATTTAAAACACAGCAAAATAACAGGAAGGCACAAGCAAAGTTATGCTTCCAATTCATGAAGAGGGAAAGATCCGTAGCTTCGTTTAGTAATCAATTATTTAAGTTATAAGTATAACTTAATTTTAAGATAAAACTAAACAATATCTCTAATCTTCACAGCATAATTGTGCAACGATATTTATGTGTAATAAAAGTCTAAATTTAAAAGAAGCTATCTTTGTACAGCGTTAAAATTGCTATTTAAAACGCTGCGGAGCTTTTAAAATGCTCTTAAACGCGAATTTTCATTAGAAGCGGTATTTCTAGAATTGCGTGAAATGTTGAAACGATGTGGTTTTAAATAGCATTACGCTTTGAATTTATTTAGATATCACGGATTTTATGAAAACCGTGTGCTATGTAAGCGCTTAACCGTAATGAGTTTCAAGGAAAAATAATCCAATTATAGACGAGACTGCACTTTGTAATTACATTTGTGCTTGGGGTCCTAATAATATAGTTTTTTTAATAAGTTTAAGCCTACTGCTGAATATAGGCCATTTAACAAAAAATGGTACAATCAATCAATAGCTGCTCACAAAAGGGTCGGTTCATCCATGAAATATCTGCATTATTATTCTTAATCGATATAATTTTTTCAGAAATACATCTTTTTTAAGATGTTATCTTTTCGACTACCTCGAAACCTTTATGTACAACAAGCACAAATACTTAGTCAGAGCTCTATAATCAGGTCTTACAATAAGAATCTGTGATTCCATCTTACTATACTATAACGTTAATTTCCACACGTCCATGGTTGACAGGCGGAGAATGCCAAAAGGAATTAAGTCTGCACTTTGTAATCCTTTTTTTAAAGTGTAAAATAAAGTGTGAATAAATAAATAAATAAATAAACACAGACATTCTGACTACCGAGCTAAATGGTATTTTTGTATTTAATGAACAATCAAACCTTATATGCATCAGGAATATTAACTGGTTCTCCGCTCTCGGCAACGTAACCGACGATGCCGCTGCCCCACGGTATCCTAATCTCTTCCAGCTGCTCCATTTGTTCTGGTGTTGATTTTGAACACACGTCGAACAGTTTCGACACGAGGCACCTGGTAACAAAATGCTATATATTAGTAAAAAAAAAGTTAACAGCTTATATCGTCCCGTATATATTATCCGTTCAGTTCTAGACACAGGATTCCTTTCGTTTTTGAAAGAGATACGAAAAAGTAAATCGTCCGCGACACCACGCGTCCTTCTGTGTGAAATGTCAGTGTGAAAACCTTTAGATTTTTCAGACATTCAGGTCCGCTGAGTGCGTGATAAATCAGCACAAGTAATTTAATGTGCCGATTTATTACACACACTCAGTGGAGACATTAAGTCTTTTTGAATACCAAAACCTGAATAAAGTATCATATGTTGTATTGACATAAAATGAACTGAGGTTGTTTGCGTACTACACAATTAACAGCGAACGTTATGAGCTGGCAGATCTATTATTATTTCACAATATCCACATAAAAATAAAGCTAGCACTGCATTTTCTGATATTTTTATATGTATACAAACATATGGTAGTGAAAGTTGGGTGTGGCAGAAGAAGTACGAGAGTAGAATGAACACAGTAGAAACGCGGTCGTTAAGGAGTATGTTAGGGCTGAATCTGAATGACAGGGTGAGAAATTGTGTGATAAGAGAAGAGTGTGGTTTGCAAGATGATGTTGTGAACAGGATTAAGAAAGGAATGCTTCGGTGGTTTGTTCATGTGGAAAGAATGAATGAGGAAATAATGACAAAGAAAATTTATGTTGCAGAAGTGAATGGCAGAACCGGAAAGGGCGATTTATTGAAAACGGGCCAAATTGGGAATACCCTTAACCGACGAGCATGTATGCGTAGGTATATGGATGTGAAAGAGGCGAGAGAGGTGTGTCAGGATCGTGCCAAATGGAAGTCTGTAGTTTCTGCCTACCCCTCTGGGTGACAGGCGTAAGTGTTTATGTATGTATATGTTTTATATGTCTGTTCATTAATAGATGGAGCCGTCTTGTAGTAGGGTGCGTAGGTAGGAAACGTTACCTCAAAACCGCATTTTTCGAACGAATTATTATGTACTAAAGCAGGTAGAATTTTAGAACAAACAAAGTACGAGTACGTTAAACTTCGAAAATGTCTCGGCGGGCAAAGACCCGGGCGTGCATGAGCGCTTTACCTGTTCGATTCTGTTGAGTATTTTCATGCAATAAAAAAGTATATATAAAATATCTCTCAACATAACCTAAAAATGATAAGCCTTTTTACACTATTTTATTATGGAATCTCTGCAAGGTATTTTATCAAGCCAATTATTATGCTTCGCGTTTCTTTCTTTACACATACTTATTATGCATATTACACATGCATATTAAATTTTAATAAAATTAATTGGATTTAACTCAATAATTTAATTTTATTTACGGAGTAGTAGCATGTTTATAATTTTAAATGTGTCCGCTTTGTTTTCAAGTACACGCTATAAATCTAGTCTTTCAGAGTCAAGGAGATTTAATGAAAAGATAGACATTACGGAATTATTGTGGCACATAAATTACCGAATTTGAATGGATATTTCAAGGTAAATCTTCCAGAGACATTTGTATTTTACAAGAGCTATTGTTAAAGCATTAACAACGCGCCTCAATTTTCAGGTGAGATGTTTGTCTTGACCTTTTTTTATTTAAAACTATTATCTTTTAAGTAGAAAAGGGTAGCATTTTATATCCAATAACGAAAGCCGATAAAGCAAAATGCGCCCTCATAAAATATAATATGTATAATATGCCCTCTAATAAATATATCTTAATATAAAATGGTTAGTCTTCTATAGTGTATATACCTACCTGTTATTTAAAAATATACGTAATAAGTAATAACTAATAATATAATGTGCTATCAAGGACGTATGGTCAAATTGCTTCTATTTTCAGAAGTCTTAATGCTGTTCGTTATAAGTAATAAATACTTATATACATATATATAGAGGTACTACCATTAAACCGATCCGATCCTGGAAACTTAAATAATGCAACTTGACTTTTATTTTAATTGAGTTAAGAGACAGAAACGCGTGGCACAAAAATAATATAGAAATAAATCCTTTTTACTAGAAACGAGGCATTCTATCTTATTCCTAAAAGGTGATAACTCATCTGCATTTTGATTCTTAATCGAGTATAGACGTAGATAGGCCACAACATCCACGTACCATCAGGTTGACTCTATGTTCGTTTATCACCTTTTTTCTGTTTAAAAAATTGGTTAACCCTGCAGGCCATCCCTGGAACTTCCCGCTAATTAAAAATGCAAAACGATCCAAATTTCACCAAATTATGTTGCAAAATCTCGAAGGTAAGTTAAAAAAAAGTTTTTTTTTACAAATTCTTTCTCCTTTGACATCTCATGAACGAATGAACCGATTTTTATTTTCCAATTTCATTCGAACTCATTTTTTGAGGTTAAGAGCTGATTACTTTTTGAAATCGATCGGTAAAACCGTTTAAAAGTTATTCCAAAAAAACAGTTTTTCAAAATTTTTATTTTTGAGATTTCTCAAAATCTATTCGTCCGAATCAGTTCGTATTATCACCAAATCTATTCCACATTGAGATCCCTAAAACGCATCTCAATAGATCAAGACATTCAAAAGTTATGAAAGGTTTACGTACTTACTTACTGACACACACGCACGCACGCACGCACATACATCCGTACGGACGTCCACGAAAATCAGTGAAACCAATAATTTCCCTATTTTTGAAAAATTTCAAGAGGAAAGTTAAAAAAATAAGCTACATTACAATAAAGTTTTTGTGTATTAAAAATATTGAAAATCATCATACGCACTATAATATAACTAATGACAAACCGTAATACAGATTTCCCTTTTAACGGAGTGCCGAAGCTAGACCTGGACCTAATGACTAGAACGTTAAAGCTACACCTTCATTCAACACTACATAAAGAAACTTTAAAAATCATTGATTATTACAAATACAAGTCAGACTATAAGATCGGAGGCCAAAAGATAGCATATCAGTTACATAAAAAGTCGTACAGCAGCAATGAGTTGCCATGGATCCAAAAGTGAGCTTGCGAAGCTTATCATCAGAGTTAGTTTATATACAGCATATATATATATATATATATATATATATATATATATATATATATATATATATATATATATATATTATATGCTGTATATACATGACATTAAGAGCTGCGTTCTTCTCTTACCCAATATGCCGGCCCCTAAAATCTGCCATCCAGGGCCATACACTCTGAGCCCTGACACCTCTGCTACGTCACTTTTATGTTCGAAGATGAACAGCAATTAAACCCTATATTGTTTTATTTCTTATAACATATGGCATGTTTAAATTACATCGCTACTTTAGAATGTTTAATAAAAATAATATTATTAAATAATATTAATTTGGTTCATTGACACAAAATGTATTAATTTATTTCTTCGACTTAAGGCGCTACCTCCAGCGAACGACCTTGAGCGTTTGGTCTGTCGACGCTCGCTACAATATATTGCGTAAGAAATCGCCAAAAGACGCCACCTACTGCTACGAACGTAGTATTATTTTTTCAATGTCAATGAACTATTCTATGGAAATAGACACGGCGTACAATGATAAATGTATTTTAATTTTCGTTGTTCGGTATATTAGTTGCATTATATTAGAATTATGTATTCTCATATATTATCTAATTTATAAAAATGACTATTTTGATTATTTTTAACTATATACTATACTGCTAATATTGAATTAGCTTTTTATAGTGTAAATTATAATATTTGTCGAAATGTTAATTATGGATTCGAACTTTACATGCTAATGGTGCTTCATTTTTGTTATTTTCATTTACTTACATATTGAAAATATACTTGAATAGTAGTTATTATTATTTTATTTAGCTACTGAATTTTAGGATATGTTTTACCTTGAGGTCAAATATAATTTTGAGGAACAATAGTTATTACCTACTAATCTTTTATCTGCTATTCCTTATTTAGGAACAATATTAGTAAATTGAGTTTGAGGGAGATTTAATGTTTATAATGCTACCTTTATTATTTTAATATTTACCTACTGGGTAGGTAATTATTAAAATAATAAATATAGCATTAGTAACTAAATAGATATTTTTTTTTAATTTTTAAAATTAAAATTTTCGTATTTTTAAAAATTACTAAAAAAAAGGTTTGAAATAATAGATTTTCTCACAAAAGAAGGGAACTTGAAAAAAAAGGAAAAAAAAAGCGGGACCAAAGCCAAGACGCGAACCACGGAACTCCGATATCACGCCCGACCGACATACCACCTGAGCTATAACGACCGTTAATGATTAGTCGAAATTTACCTTCTTATATTGTAGCAGTTTTTTTATTGCCTGAAAACATGGACAAAAGGACATTTTCTAAAAATAAATCCAAGCGTTCGTCGCTAAAATCGTTGGAGCCGTATAATTTTCTCATCTGGTTCGGTTATATAAATATTTAAATATATAAAAATTATAAATTAAAATGAAAAGATAAATATACATAAATATCAATAAAATAAAATAAATACAAAATAATATTATATTATTATTGTTATTATTATTATTATAAGTTGTGGTTCGGTGAAGCTGCAACCTAATGGACTGATCTGAAATTTTTATGAAAAGAAGTGGCTGACGTCAATTATTATTATTCTTATTATTTTTTCATTATTGCCTTTTTCAACCTCACAAGATATTTGTAACTGCAAAAAAAAAACTACGTATAAGTAAGTAAATCAGTAATATAGTGTTATGTATGATTCAGACTAAATAAAGGTTCCTAAAAATAGACGTAGATAAAGAAATTGCATAAAAAATTACTCAAATAAAAATGCAATAAACTTGTTAATTTTATAGGTACTTAGTAAAATATTAAAATAATAAGTTTTTTAGGATATTTATGTAAAATATAAAGGTTATATTATGTTCTAACTACGTTCACGCTTGCGCATATAAAACCGCGGAATTTCACTAGTTTTATTATCAAAATAATAATTAACAACCCTACCCTAAG